TGAATTATGACAGTCGAACAAAGCATGTGCTTGGCTCTTGTTTTCATTGTTGTTGTTGTTGTTGTACTAAGCGAATTTGGCACAGTCATTTCGTTACTATTTTGCCGCACAATAACTTGCAGCATGCACCCCAACGCCGCCGCAACACTCGACTGCTTGCCATTTATTTGGTGCCAAAGAAAGTTTTCAATTCCCCATCCTCTTGCCGCCGCAGGTACGCACACAGCGCACAAAGTTATGAATGTATGAATTGTATTTGCAAGTTATGAAAATGAAAAAGGCGTACGCTAACAAGTGGCGAACGTGCAACATGGCTGCAACTTTATAAATCAGCCTTTGTCATGCACACGGGCTCTGCACTTATTGCAGGTGGAACGCAAGCAGGACGTGAGATCTGGCGAAACAAAGGGGCGCGTGCAGGCAAAAAGTCAGTTTGCTGGTGATTGTGTGTGTGTGTGTGTCCATACTACGAACAGATAGATAATTCGCTTGCAAGCTGCTTCACCGACAAAGCGATCGCCGGCCACAGCACAGCGCGCCTCCACTCTCTCTAACCGAGCTATGCCCGGACCGAATCAAAAAAACCGCTTTCACTGCGGGCGGTCGCCTGCGAAGCCTGTCTTTCAACCTCGTTTGGTCGTTTCTCGCTTCACGGGCATTTCGACTGCTCGTTCAAGCTCGACAACGTGGCGAAAAATCTCTTTTGTTTATTTAATGAAAATTTAAATGTCGTTTGCACGTAAAGCGCCGTTGCATGGAAGCGGTGGCGGTAAGGCGTCGCAAAAATGGCAGTAAACAAGGCCAAAGTGTGAAGATTGCAAATGGCGTAAAAAGCGCATTTATCCATAATTGAGTCGTAACTAAGGTTATGTTTGGAAATTTAAAATAAATTAAAATTTTTATTGCCATAATAAATTCGCTGATAGCGTAAGGGTTAAAACAAAGCTCAGCCGCCTATTTATGATAGAATAAAAATTATTAGTTTCAATTTGTGATAATAAAAGCAAAGAAAGCTTTGAATAAATAGCTTTGCTCGAGCTTTTGTGTTTTTGCTCGAAAATATTATGATGCTGAAGTCAGCATGGAAATCATATGTGAAAAGTCCACTGGTAGTATGACTCAAAATTTATGAAAGACCATGCCGTTTTGATGTGTAAAAACATTAATTGCAGTCTAAGAGAAGCTTTATTGATTGGTTAGACGGGTTTCAGAGGAACAAAAAAAAGGTATTTTTACAATTTTTTTTTAATATAAGCGATCATATATTTGAAAAATATAATATGTTCTATCAAAGGTACATATTTGAGCAATATCTCCTGAAATTTCGATACAAAAATGTTGAAAATTCAGCCGTTGAGACCTTATTTCCCTGGGTGTCTCACAAAAAAGTGCTCTCGCCGTGGACAGCATAACTTATTACTGGTTCCTATAAAATTAAAAAACGAAGCATATTCCGTTAATACATATCTCAATCTCGTTTTTGAATGAAGGTAAAAAAATATTAAATTTTTCCTTTTTTTCTCAGACTTTGAACAAAAAATCTCATTTTTTGGTAAAATGTCCGCCATTTCTTGGTCAAAAATATAAGTTGGAATGAAACAAGAAAAAATCCTTCATACAAACGTGTACATAATACGAACTGAATTGGTTGATAACTTTTAGAGAAATCGTGTCCACCGACTTCAAAAACACAGTTTCGAGAAAAACACGTTTAAAGACGGGGCACTTAGCGCAGCTAGCCTCGAGCGCACAAGTTCTCAAGGCTGTATCTCCGAAAATGTTACTCAGGTCAACTTTGAAATTTATAACAATATTCTAGAGGTATTGTAGAATTTAATAAAGCAAACAAAAAAATCGATTCTTTTAAATTTTCAAACCCACCTAACCCCTTAAAAAGTCGGTTCGGCGCCATTCGCAACTACTCGGACTGACGTTTGGAACACTTTGGCCATTTCACATCGATATCTTAAATTGAAAGCATACAAAATACAACTTGTGCAAGAACTGCAACCGCTTAACGTACAGAAGTGAAACCGCTTCACTTTATTTCCGCTTGAACAATCCGAACTCCGAAATGCTCAAACTGGTTATCGAAAATTGGACTCAACGGATGGACCATCCGCGACGTAGCCGCGACCAATATTTGAAAGAGATAATCGTCTAAAAACTAATGCCAATGTTTTTTCGAATGATTATAAGCATTCCCCATTAAATTTGAGGTTTCTCTGTTTTTTTTTATAAAAAAAAAACAGTAGTTACCCTCGAAATGAATAAATTTTTGTTCTTAAGTATAATATCTTCAAAATATCCTCTAAAAATTTTAAGTAAATCCGGGAAATACTTTTCGAGTTACACGACAATTAGCAAAGGGTTCTCGGGCTAGCTGCAACGTTGATTAAACAAAAATGCTTTTTTCGTGAAATTATGTTTTTGTATGTTTGAAAACATGAAACTAGTCGCTGATCGGACGAAGTTTCTTTAAAATTTCGTATTTGAATACGAGTTTTTCTTTAATTTTCGTTTTTCATAGACCAGTAAATGTTAGTTTACTCTCGAAAATCTGCAATAATTTTGCTGACGCCGCCATTTTGCTATTTTGAATAATATGAGCTCTAAATTACCAGTTAATAAATCTACTTTTTGAGTCGGTCTGATTTTAGATGCATCTCTAAGCATTTGTGATGGTCACCTCATGCAGCTTCGGCTGGAACTGGATCAAAGCAAACAGCGGCGACTATTGACCGTTTTCCGAAGCGTCTACAGTTGATGACAGAGAGATAAATGGTCAGCCTTACGCGGGTCATAGATTTGATTTTAAGAACTGTTCGCATTCCCATAGATCCCCGCAGAGAACAGAAAATGAAAATTATGTCAATGAGACTTATTCGAGATGATCTCTCATGAAAGTCTATCGTTCGTCAATTGACCATCTACAACAACACGCTGGAAGGAAGTTAGTGACACACTTTGGAAATCTCCAGTAAAGGCGTTACACCATTTTACTTCTGTGAAAAAGAGTTTAAAACTAGAGCAAAAGTGTACCTTACCAAAAATTTGTATCAGATAGAACCTAAAAACTTGAATACAGTAAAAGCTCCTTATTCACGCTTCGTTTATTCGCGTTTTCACTATTCGCGGATTAAAAAAATGAGACCCAATTTCTACATTCGCGACTAAAAATTTTTTTTATTTGTGGATCTAATAAGTACGTACATAATAATAAAATTATTCCAATAGGTACCCAAACCAATATTCTTGTCAAATGGACTAATAAAAAAGTAATAGATCTTATTACAAGTTAGCCTAAAGTAATGTTATGGTGTACAAATTCATAAAAGTTGAATTTTATTGATAAATCGAAAAAAGAGTTTCACAGAATTAAAAGAAATTACTTAAACTTGACTGTACTTAAAGTTTTTTAACTTTAAATTTTAATGTAAAAGCAAAAATCTATCTTCTTCTTCATTGGTATATATTTTCCGTGCTCATATAATTAAGCCACCTGTAAAAATAAGCTGTCAGTCAGATAAAAGAATTCGAACTTGGGAATCCCTTTTGCAAAATTACTTCCCTGCAGCGTTGGTTCATTGTACGGACCAGTGTGTTACATTAGTGCGGAGTAATTTTGCCACATTCTTCCTTTAAAATTTGCCACAATGTAGCCTTATTTGACGGTTTTCTCGCCGCAAMTGCCCTTTTAATAATCCCCCATAGATTGTCTATAGGGTTTAAATCTGGGCTTTGGACAATCCACTCAAGACACTTGATACGGTTCGGTCGCAAACCAGTCCTTAACGACCCTGGAACAGTATTTGGGCCGTTATCCTGCTGAAATATTCAAGCTAGTAGTAAATTTTCGGCGTAATTTCCATTTAGATGTTCGCCTAAAATGTCTCTGTACATACTGCCAGTCATTTTGCTCTCAACTTGTACAAGTGGTCTTACTCCGCATGAATCAAGTGACATTCAGGAATTGCTTGACTTGGAGGAAATGTTAAATTCACAACCTATTGAAGAAGAGGCTTCAACAAGCACTGGAAACGTGACATTCAATTTGAAAAATCTTAGTGAAGGTTTAAGAATGGCAAATGATCTCTGCGATTGGATGGAACGAAGTCTAATTTTTAGCAGACAAATTGCTAATGCGATTGCTGTGTATCAGTCTACATTGAAGGAGCTTTTGAAAACTGCTAAGCAAGAAAAAATTACAAAATTCTTCAAACCATTGCCTAAGCTTTAAGATAATTATATAAATGTTCAAAACCTTGAATTAAATTGATTTTTTTTAATACATATTTTTTATTTTTTTTTTTTTTCTTTGTCACCTAGGAACATATCCCCTATAATCCTATATAAATTACCATCCCGTATTCACGGTTTCTGTATTTGCGGCATATTTATGGAACATATACCCCGCGAATAAAGAGCTTTTTTTGTATTTGAATTTTTCACATATGTAAATTTTGAGATTATGTGAGAAAGGTTTATATCGTCACCTAATATACAAAATAACATAAGAACACTTTTCATAAGTTTTCAGGCGCAAGAAAAACGATATAAAAGAAACCACACAAAATGAAACAAAATTCGAGTTTTGGTTATAAAATGGTTATATGTAGGTAGGTTAATATTATAGGTAAATAAATCTAATAGCGATTTCCGATTTTGATTGATTTAGATCTTTTTATTACGTAAAACTTTGTTTTATAAGTTTTTCCATTGGTCCTTCATCAACTACGCCCCAAATCGCCCTTCTTGGCGTCAAATCGTCTTTAAATTACTTTTCCTTTCATTCATGTTATTTCTCCTCATTTTCAATGGAAATTTTTTTCACTTCTTATCATTTTCAAAGACTTTTGCACTGTTTCATAATTATGCTCTACATTTTTAGGTCTTCCAAAGCTTCCCTATGAGTATTTCGAGCTTTTTTTCATAATTAATACGTGTATTGTGCTTTAATTCTTTTGAGTTGGATGCCCACAGATATCTCCAAAACTTACTCTCACAAAACGCCGCCGATAGATAGTCGGTCGTGGTCCCAGCGAACGCGAAAAGGAATCGTTGTTGTAATAATGGCGCTTACGAAAATAACTGGGATACATTAGCTGAAACACATCGGCCGGCCGTTTTCTGTAGCTGTATTTGGGATCGAACATTTCACACGCACGACACGCGGAGCGCAGAGCACAAAGTAAACGTGAGAGTAGAAAAGATAAAACACCGACAAGATTACTGCAACAATTAAGCACTAATTGTGGCACAATTAAATAAATGGGTCGTAACGACGCGGGCGAAATGAACACACACACACAGGCACAAAAACCGAAATATTTTTGTGAAACCGACGGTAAGGAAATAAATCTAAATAAAATGAATTTCTTTGCTGTGCGCGCGCGTATGCAACGAAAATATTTCTAATTGCCGCAATAAGAATGTTGCAGATGCAAAACGCAACTGAAACTAAGTGAAAATTCGTTCAAACATTGAGTGATCAAATTGGCAATTAGTGGCAACAGCCAGCAGAAGATCACAGCCAACACTTTGTATATTCCAACAAAAACAACAACAACACACAATCATAGCAATTCTAACAAAAAAAACAGCAGCAACGTCTATGTCCACCATAAGCAAGTGCAGCAGGGACAGACACAGCGAATTCTCAGCCGCCGTGGCCCAGCGTTGCGTAGCGCCTTGGGAAACAGGCAGCGCCAACTGTTCCCGTTCGCCACAGTGTCCGTGTTGCAGGTAGCGCAGCTGCCACGTTGCCACGGCATTTGCAGTTGCCCATAAAAAATCATCAAAACGGTGCGTTATTAATAGATGATATCTGAAAGGCGAGGAAATCAAAAAAAAGAAAAAAAAAATACAAAAAAAATCGTCTAAAATCAACCGAGAAATTAAAGAAAAAATTAAAAAAAAAAATCACAAATTTTAAGGGAAAAACAAAAGCAAAAACCGCAAGCGCAAATCATCCCAAATATCAAAACCATTATAAATAAATATTATTGCACATAATTAAAAGCGCGCCGCGGGTCGCGCTCGGCCACAGCCACCGTCGGCCGTCGCAATGCAACCCTGTCCGCCCAGGCGTTTTGCCGTTTAACAGTTGTTGCTTTTGTGCTCTTCTCACATTGCTTTATTAGCGCAAATTTACTTCTTCATTTGAAATTCGAATTCGCAATTTATTAAATGTAAGTGAAATTAGTGAGCGGCAGTCGACTCCGCGTCGCGGCCGCAAAGGGCGGCGCTACATGTTTTTGCGCCAATAAAAAATGTGAAATAATAAAAACAACAGCAATGCAAACAAGCAGTTGCGCAAGTGTTGGTGTTGTTGTAGCAGTTGTTGTTGTTGTAGTAGTTCTTTTTGTTGTTATCTGACTGTTTGCCTTTGCTTTCGATACGAAAATATTTAGCGACATTAGATGAAAGATAAAAAACACGCTGATGAGCTTGCAACAGCTGTGTGGCGACAACAGCAAAAACAATACTATAAAAACGGATAAAAAGGTAAAAGGTGAAAAGGCGGCAATCGAGTTGCATCTTGACGTGTGCACGATTTTTTTTTTTTTAATTAGTGATTTTGCGGTCGCTGTAATTGTTGTTGTAATATTACAATATTGTTGTAAAATATGGTTTGTGTGATTTAGTTGACGCGAATTTTTGTTAATAATTAAAAAAAAAGTTTTAAAATGTAATGTAGTTAGAATAAAGAGAGACAAACGTTTCAATACATATTTACATATTATATTATATTATAATAATTACGTATTATAATAAAAATATAATATAATATAATGGCATAAATTTCTCTAAAATAAAAGTGTTTCATAAAAAAGGCGGAAACGACAAGAAGAGAGCAGAGATATAATATTATGTCTACAACTTTGCTTCCTTCCTTTGTTTTTTTTTGTAAATTTATGGCTTTATTGTATAAAAACGGTCCAAAAGTGTTTTCCCTTATTCCCTCAAAAAGCAACGCTTAATTAACGAAACGCTTTTTTGATCCATTTTTTTGTAAATATATTTTTTTTAATACCTAATAGAAATCATACAGATGATAGTAGTAGAGTAATTATAGAGTAGAGTATTATCTATATTATCTATGTATGTGTCAGCCTAAGGAAAGCGTGGACGGGTCCTCAGCCGCACTTTTCTTGGAGTTAAAAAAGAAAAGCAAAATTTCCCGCAAATGTCGAGAATTTGGCACAAAAAGTCATATTTTCAGTTGAGAATAAGTTTGGGATGCTAACAGATCTCTACAAATATTTTGTTGGGTTAATGTGGACAAATGTTCAAAATCGATATAAAACGATTTAATCGACCACTGCTTGACATCTATTGAAAAATGGCGTAAGCAAAGTTGTAGACCTAATAATTATCACTTTAAACAAGAATTTCGACTTTTACACTACTACGAAGTAATAAGTAAATGAAATAAAAAATAGCTTTGAGTCGCTTTTCAGCTGTTTATTATGGTATTTTTTACTTTTTCTAAAAAAATTTACCATAATAATTCATCAGCAGAAAGTAGCGGTTTCAACAAACAAAAGGCTTACTGACTTTTTTAAAAAATGTGAAATTTTTATGTAAGAATTATTTATTGAAAATTAGGTTTTTCGATTTTACGTCGAAATAAGATCGCTTCCTTGAATTTTTCATGTAAATTTTGAGGTTATGTAAATAAAGTGTTAATAGAAAGGTTTTAGATCTCTTCATTACAAACAACTTTGTCATATAACTTTTTTCTATAGAACTCATAGTTTTGTTGAAAATTGGTTACCCTAGCAATTAGGGCAATTGCATATTCATTAAATTTTCGTGGAAGTTCATTCGCATCGCTTAGGCAACAGTGCGTGCAACATAAATTGCAAGTGTGCACACTCCTTACGAATTCCCATTCCAATGCACATTTATCTTATTTTCGAATCTTCAGTCGTAGTTTCACTGCGAGTGTGTTGTCTCAGCATAGCTGGTCTTGGAATTTAACTAATCAGATGAAATTTGTTTTGCGAGTGAATTTTCGCAAATAGAGGGCGGAAGCTAATGCGTATTTGTTCGACGTCATAATTTTAAGAAAACAAATATTAAAAGAATTATAACAAAAAA